ACGATTATTAAAGTTTAATTAAATCGATTTAATTTGAAAAGGTTCTAAAACCTATTAGAGATTTTCATAACAGTTTTAAATCATTATTGGAAGTGAGCTATAACATTTTCGAATAATTGTGCTAGATATTCACAGATGGGGCTAAAAAACAATTTGAAAATACAAAAAATAAAGAAAATATAACAAAAATTGGTACTTAAAAGAAAACAAATCTCAAAGATTACATATTTATTGCCAATTTACAAAAATTCAAAGATTTATCGATTCATTTATAAATTTTTCCCATTTTTCCTCAAATATAACAAAAGCACCTTTCTTTTCATCATCATTCATCCCGCTATATTGAATAGAATTCCAAGAAACCTTTTTCAAAAATTCCAATCCACTTTTACGATGAGTCATCGCCATAAATACCATATAAAAATCGTAGGATAATCCTTTAGCGAACCAATTACCTGGGTCGTCGTTACAAATTACAACAGGCAAACCGGAAGCGATAAAATTTGCTGCCGGATGGTTTCGTAAATCGCTGATTAGTTTTAAAACTTGGTTTGAAATAGGGCAAACTTCTATAGCCGTGTTAGTTTCTTTAACGATTTTTTGTAATTGCGGATGCTTTGGTAGTGAAAAAGCGTGTCCGATGCGTTTACTTCCTAATAAAATCGCGTCTAAAAGATTTTCGTCGATGTTATCTCCAAAATTGTTCGTTTCACCGGCGTGGAAATAAAAATCGATTCCGATATTTTTGATGGTTTCTATGTTTGTTGTTAGCGGAGCGTCTCCCTCGAATCCAACGAGGTCAAAACCGATTACAAAATCGGGATATTTCAGTTTTAATTTTTTTAATGTAGATAAATTTTGTGTCAAAATTTCTTGAGTTAAGTTGCGATAAAAAGCACAGATATATTTAAATCCAATAAAATCTGGGTGATCCTTCTTAAATTTGTTATTTACTTTATACAATGAGTCTATGAAAAATTCTTCGTCGTGGGTAGTTCCGTTTAATTCGTATAAATAAACGAAAGGTGCTTTAATTTCTAAATATAAAACATTGTCCTCATAATGTTCCTTTAAAATTTCATAAACGTAATCTTCAAAAACTCCAACGTAAGTAAATAAATCATATGTTAAGGTAAAGATTTTCTTAAATTTATTCCAAGTTTCATTCAAATTTTTGGTTATATCATCACGATTTAATACCAAATTATTTTCTAGCCATTCATCAAAATCTTTTTCTTTCAATTTTTTTGACAAGCGGTCACAGTCTGTTTTATATTCCTCGTCCAAAAACTTAAACTTTAACCGTTCGTTTTCGTCGCAAAATAAAAATAAATTCTCTCTTTTTAACAATTCTTTAACGTAATCGTATGAAACTGAAGCGAATAAATGAACATGTAAACAACCGCCTTTCGGTAACCTTTTCAAACACTTAAACACGTCACTATTATTTTCTATTTCGCGGTGAACGGCAACGAATTGAGAAAATGCCGGACAGTTTATTTCATTTAACTCCTTTTCTTTTAACCTTAACAAACGTTCGTTTAACATCAATTCACGTTCACTTAACTTTATATCACCACCCAATGATAAAAAACGTTCTTTTTCAATCAAATCATTACGTTTTTCCCAATAACTATCCATTGAAAATGTGCGTTGTAGAGAAGCGATGGACAAAACGACTAAAATCTCCGTGCGCATCGTAACAAGGTCGTTCACTCGGTTGTGGTTGTCTCGGGGATTCACCGAAATAAGAATTTTGCTTAGTTACAAAACGTCAGAGCACAAAAGTCGAAATAAATTAAAACAGATTATAATGTTATCGTAATTAATTGATTATGTTACAAATATTATAACTTGAAATTTAATACAGGATTTATCACTCTTTTTTACTTTTATCTCTTGTTTGTTGTTCATCAATATTTTAATGTTTCAAATTAAATCTAAAACAAAAATAAGAAATGATTTTAATTCAACAATTCAACCAATGAAAATAGGATGACAATTAATTTATGACGAACGAGGGTGGTTTTTCAAATTAAAAAAAAAAGAGTTACCCTGAACCGATCCATCATAAAAGGCAATTAACAAATGCCACCGGGAATAATATCGATGTTATTTTTAGATGAGGGGTGGTAATTTAATGGCATAAGTTGAAATGGGTGTGGATGTTGTGTATAATGGTGTTAAAAAAAAGAAAAGGGAACTATTTGCTTAATAAATATTGATAACAAAAATCGATTGAGTGAAGGAATGAAAAGACGGGTGACGGTAAAGATCGGCAAACAATAGGGAGCTTCTCCGGCTTCGTAAAGGGTGAGAAGACGGACGGGGGAGTGACGAAGCCATTGTTGGGTCATCACAAAACCATTCATATCACTTACCGATACAATGGATCTTAAATACTCCGCTCCCGTTCTTGCGACCACCGCCAAAGCATCCGTCCGTCGTCCGAGGACAATGAAAACGGCGCCATTTTAATGCAAACACAAACCTTACCCAACCCTACCCTATACCTTTTATTACAACAAACCGTTTTCACAAAAAATCATAAATCGATTTATATATAATCTAAAAACATTAAACATAATAAAATACAATCAAAAAATACCGCCATGAAACCATAACAGAAAACACGTAAGGCTGGCAATATCGAATATCATGCAGTAGTAAACCTCGATGCTATTCGTTTTTACTGTCCTCCCCATCTATATACACGACGACGACGACTAAAGGAAAACGAGAGAAAATGACTAGAAGAAAACGATATCGTTTTCGTTTTTCGTCTCCTTTTGCCGTGTCGTTTTTGGAACGTGTAGAATTGGTCGGATCGGGGGCACTTTTAGTAATGATAATAAGAAAATGGGGCGGACCGGATCGAAATGCAGCCGGGGGCATTGTCATTTGCGCGGAATTCGGTTCGTTAACGGGTCCCTGGTTGCGAAGAACCCGACCCATTTAGTATGTAAAAAGTATCGTTAAGGGTGTTCGATTTAAAAAGAAAATCGGAAAGTTAAAAATCAAACAAGATTAAACTTTGTATAAAAAAAAATATCAACGGAAATTCTTCGATGTTTGGAAGCTGAAATTACAGGAAGTAAAGATTACAGAAAGTTACACATGTAACAAAAATTGTTATCTTCAATTTTTCGTTATCTATACGTTTCTATTTTTTATTTATACTCGAGATTACGCTATCTCTAAAAATGTTCTATGATTCTTCCATTTGATAATTTTGGTTATACAGATTAAATATTAATTAAATTGTACTGCAGTTCAAATGTAATAATGAATTCACCAGGATTTAAGTAGTAGATTTTGAAAATGTTTAAATGTAAAACGCAGTTATACGAATACTGTGTAAGGATAATTTCTTCATTAACTACAACGTTCCACTCCGTTTCCATCTTCCGACACCAATTTAAAATAAACTTGAATTAAAACACTTTGCTTTTTTTATCTTTCGTTTTCTATCTATTCGTCGCCGTGAAGATTCAACCAACAAGCTCGTTTAAAGAGTCAAACATACTCTTTTTTCACTCTCTCACACTCTCGAGTCGAGCCTTTATTAAAACACTCGCATTTGTCGGTACCGATTTATTCAAAAGAAATGGGTTCCTTGTAACTTCCTATATACTGTAGTCGTAAACTGCGAGCATAATCCATACAAAACATTATCACACATTAACAAACACAATAATTGCTTGAATTGTATGAATAAGAGTTTGCCATAGTAGTGATTCACTATCTGTAAACTATCTCTTTTCCTCTTTCAAAACAATTGATTAAAGAAATGACTCATTAAGTCGTCGAATGTAGACTGCAATCCCTCTTGTTGAAAATACAAGTCAGCCCTTTTCACCAAATTCACAATCGATAATGGATTGAAAAATCTTAATGATAGCCTAAATTACCATTTAAAAAGTAAAATCGATTAAAATTGACAATTCTGAGTTGATAGGACCTCAATCATGGTAAATGATGCATCATCTAACGATATTATGTTTTGCATTTTCTATTTTCTATAATGTTGTATACGAACAAAAGTCCAAACGTTTTGCCTCATCACCTATTTTAAGGATATGAGTATATTTTGGTTTGTATCCAATTATTTTGTTTTTTTTAATGTTAAAAATAACATTTTCTTTTATTTTCATTTTCCACATTTCCGGTTTCGGAAAATATTAACAAAATTCCTGATAATTCTTTTACATACTGAAAATACAAATTTTTAATAAATTATATTTAATTTAATAAGCGTTAATATAACTCACCTAAAAACTAATTAAACAACACATTGCATAAAATATTTAAAACAAGAACCTAGCCAGAATAAATTCACTGATCATGTTCAGAAGCTGTTAATTCATCAGCTATTATATTATAAGTGCGAAGGCTTTCACAGTTGATGTTAATTAAATTAAAGCTAGAACAAACACTAGATCTAGAAACCTTCGGGTTAAACCATGCGTTTTTTGAAAAAGTGTTTGAAAAGGATTATCTCCTTTTACAGTGACCCGATTTGCAGTAACTAAAGATTGATGTCAACTTATTGGATGATTTGATCATTCAACTCCAGCTATTTTTCTTTGTAATTCCGTTGTTTTTGAGGCTAATAATGGTATTAAAAGCTGATGATTTATGATTAAAAGAGCTTCATTGAATTCTATGTGTTCCATAATTCCAGTTAATAATCGTCTTGTTCTATAAAATGTTTTGAAATATTATTTGGCTTCTTAAATGTACTAAAATAAACAATAAATAAAATGAAGGGATTAATTATTTATTATAGGAACCTACCCAGAAGAAATGCACTGGTCAGATTTATAACCTGTTGATTCAACAGCTATAGTATTATAAAGTCTAATTATAAGTTCGGTTAGGTTCCAAGAAATCTTCCATGAACATTAGTTTAATTTTTTGTCAAATCACTGAAAAATGTAAAATAAAAACTAAATGAGATTTTTAAGGATAAATTATAGGTATCATTACAAAAAAAGTAATAAGAAAATAAAGTACTTTTATTACTCAACAATATTAGTCGTTTTTGAACATTAACAGTGAACACTTAGTCCATAAGTACTTTATGTCGTTAGAAACAGAAAAAAAAAGCCCTTCACAGAAGTTTTCATGACCATAAAATTAATAATAATATTTAATACCAAAGCGTATACTAATATAAAAGGTTACACGTTGCGACACATGTTAATAACATATCAAAGTTTAAGAAATAAGAAAAAAAATAATACATTAAAAATTAAAAAAATATCTCATTTAAGCTGTCATAGTTTTAGGAACTTTTTTATTTGATAAAGCTTTTTGATTACGAGAAGAACTTTGAAGCATTTTCCTTATAATTTTCTCTAATTGAGTCCAGATTGTCAGCAAAATTAACTTGGTAGGTTTAATATAATACTTCATTCCCATTTGTTTTTTCAAAGCAATTTCTTCTGCATTTTTCAGTTTCATGTAATACCCATAATCTGGATCTTTCTTTGAAAGTGGTTTTTCTACTACTTTTGCAAAACCAATTTGTACCAAACTAGATCCAAGATCAAGCATTTTCACTTCATTCTAAAATGATTTCAATTAATTAATTTAGTAAAAAAATTAGATATTATTGTCGTTATCTTTTTCCATCTTGTAGATTTAATAAAACTCAATTTTTGCACTTTTCTCAATGGATGTATTTTATTTTAAGTTCTACTGGTTTTGATTTTTACAAATCATCTTCAGGAACTTCATCAGTATTGAATTAAATGTCTTGAATCTATTAAAAATATCTCTAGAACTTAAAATAAAATACATCTATTGAGAAAAGTTCAAAAATTGAATTTAGGCTTACTTTGGGTGATATTTGCTCTAATTTTACTTGGCACTCAACGAATTGATTTTCTTTTTTCACAGGTACAAAAGTAACCCGATTTCCAGCAACTAAAGTTTGAAGCCAACTTATTGCATGACCTGATAATTCAACCCCAGCTATTTTACTAGGTAATTCCGTTGTTTTTGAGCCTAATAAAGGTATTAAAGGCTGATGATTTATCATTAAGAGAGCTCCATTAGGTTCTATGCGTTCCACAATTCCAGTTAATTCTCGCCGTTCTTTTATAAAACGCTTTGGAATATCATTTGGCTTCTTAAACCTACTAAACTAAAAACCAATCAATAAAATAAATGGATTATTTAAGGATTTCTTTTTAAATTACCGGTCGAACTCTTCTTAATGCATAAGTTAAACTTAGAAGAGCGATTGAATAACAGCCAATCTAAAAAAAAATTGTTTATTTAAAAAAAATAATGTTTTGAGGGTTTAAAAACATTTTTAGGTTAGATTTTTTTTACCTACCTCAACCCCTTTAATCTTCCTATTCATTAAGTTACTGTATTTATTAAATAACGTTTCTTCACCTTGATTCTCCGACATTTTTAAAAAGTATTGACGAAAAACACTAAAAAAAAACTAACGTCAATTGGTTTTATAAATAAATCTTTGCGTCTAAGAATAAACGTTACAGAAGTATTTTCGAGGTTAGAATTTATGTCATTTATGTCACAAATGTTTGATTACTTTATCATCTAACTCAAAGAATACTTTCGAAGTCTTACCCAAGTTTAATTGCAAATTTTATTTCACATAAATGGGTGTGTGTGTCTCTTCAAAAATATAAAAATAAAATAAATCTTAAGATAACGTATCGACGTAATTCTTATGTACGGCTGTATAACGGCTAAATTCGTATCCAACGTTACAAAGCCGTACCTAAACCAATAGTTTAATAAAACAATCATTATAGATTTCTATTCCTTTATAATTATTGGTTATTTGGATAGATAAATCAAATGATAAGTTAAAATTTAAAACCGTGGTGGGGAAAACTATAAATTAATTTAAGTTGTAGCGGTGAGTCGAACGAAATACGCACGCCACTGAATCGATTTGACATTTCGACTGTGTCGTCACAGTGTCGCTGTCGCCATTGTGAAATAAGGAGTCAAAAGTGAGTATTTTTCGGTTATTTACTGCGTATCGAATCGATCTTTAACGTTTTACGATTTATTTTTCGTGTACCGAATCGAAGTTTCACTAAAAATGTGTTTCTTTTTCGATACGATAGCCGTTAAGTGGTTAAAAACGTATTGAAATAACTGTAATGTAAAGTGAGTAAAGTGACAGTTCAGGGCAACCAGTAATAATAATAATAATAAGCTTAAAAAATATTTAATTTAATGCTTAAATTAGATTTAGATGGATTATTTAAGAAATTGATATGAAATATATTTATGTTTACGTTTAGAAGGCCAATATGATTCCAAGCAATGTTGATTCACGTAGACCCGATAAAGTGCAGAGATATAAACCTACTCAACCTAACGGAAATGCCCCTGGTGATGATTTAACTCCGGATTATATGAATATATTAGGTAAGTTTATTTGTAATGGCTAATATACATTTTTCAATTTGTAATTGTACAGGGTGTCTCATGTAAGTGGCAAAGTACTTAAATGATATTAAGGAGCTAAGATATACAGTTCTTCTTTAAAGGAAACGTTTTAAATAACTAAGGAAAATATTTTTATACATTTAACAAAGTACTGACATAAATATATGTTATTTAAATGGAATGATATAGTTTTTATTGCAAGTTCAGTTTGTACACACAAAAATATGTTGAATTTGATAAGACATGTTGAAACCTGGAGCTGTTAGTTTTTGGGTTATTTTAATATGTACTTTTCTTTAAGGAAGAACTTTGTATTTCAGCCCCCTTAATGCCATTTATGTACTTTGCTGCTACACACCTGTATAAGCTGTTATAAGTTATACAAATTTGGCTTCAATTCACTGTTTTTGATAGTAATAATTTTCTTAAACAACAAATCTCGTTATTTTTGGAAAATTGAAAAATTTAAATAAAATATATTCTCTTTCCTGTTTGTTTTATCTTCTAAGAAATTTCTCTCATTAATGTTTCAAGTTACTAGATATCACAATCTACTTTTAGATATATAAAACAATGCTGAGGCATTTTTTATTGATTAAGGTGAATAATTACAAATTGTTTGATTACCTTCTGTTTAATGTCTAAAGTTTAGAGTCGGAAAATGTAAATAAAAACATAAAGTTTGGGATACAGATTAAATCTAGGTCAGTTTTTAAATTAAAAGTTGATTATGACTAACACAGCGATAACAATTTAAATTATTTTCCATTGAGGTGATTAATAAAATTTTTTATGCATGATTGGGACATTGAAACGTTTTAAACTATGTGTCACAATTCCTTTTTTTTTATTTAAAAAAATTAAAATTAAATGAAGCTAACCATATTGAGTGATCCGGGTAAACACTAAAAAAAAATTAAGTGTTTGTGTTTAATGTGTGATTGCATTCCGTAGGTTCGGAACCGACCACGGCAAATGCAGACGCACCAACAGATGTGGCAGAAGACCAGCAGTGTCCGCCGCCAGTGCAAGAGTTGGATGGGGCGGCTGCGATATCTGCGACGCCCGTGACGGTGTTACCCGTGAGCTCTCAATATGGTATAGCGACGTTGCCGCCGACGACGATGACGACGACAACGGCATCGTCAGCGTCTACGAACGATATACCATCTGAAACGACGACTCCCGCAACAGATACAATAACAGAAACGACCGCGAAAACGTCGGAAAGCGGAGATAACAAAGACTTGCATTCGACGCCAAGCAGAAACGATCGCTTTAAGGTGGTGAAAATCGCGAGCCTAGAGCCGTTTCGGCGCGGCCGCTGGAAATGCATGGATTACGTTGATCAGACGGCAGCACCAACGGCGGGAAACGCTGCGAAAACGTCGGCTCCATCGGCCGGTACCGTACCCCTCACATACTTGCATACACAAAGTTTACCCCAACACCATTTCCAGCAACTGCTCGTGCAAGGGTCTTACGGGAATCAGTACTTTCAAAACGTTCCGTCCCAAATGATACCGCAAAGTCAGTATTTCTATCAAGCTCCCGGAGTCCCAAACGTCCAGTCCCAAACGTTACCACAACAAATTGGAGTTGCCCCAAACAATGTCCAACCTGTTTACATCTCAACAACCCAGCCCTACATCCAACAGACTGTTGTGCCGAATAGCGTTGGTGGTTTCACAGTTCAAACTTACCCCAACGTCCAATATGTCCCAGCTAATGTTTCGCAAAACCAAAACAGCGCTTTCATCCCCACCTCTCAAAATGTTAATTCCCAACTCCCGCCAAATTTTCAACAGAGTCAAACATACGCCGGCCAACCTTCAGTTTCGCAACCAACCCAACCGGTCGTAAATGGACACGTTTATCCCCCACAAAACGAACCAGTACCCCCAAATTCCCTTCCTACGCAAGTTGCAAAAATCGCTATTTTAACATCGCAACCACAAAATCAAGTGGCACCGAACATCTCAATTCAAAATAATCAAGCCCCGTCTCAAATACAAGCAGTTCCCGTACAAGCAGTTGTCCCAACACCCCAATATAATAACCAACAATTAACCAACGCGAATTTCCAACAAATTCCTCAACAACAAATTAATCAACAGATGCCGCCACAAAATATGACTTCAGTACCCGCGAGCGTTACCACAATGAATCAAATACCAACTTCCAATGCAAGTACTACCAATCAATTACCGCCAAGTGTCAATCAGAATTCAACAAGTACCGCTTCTGCTAATCCTTCACAACAAAGTGTCGTGCAACCAATCGTACCCCAAATGATACCAATCATACAAACAGCGAATATCCCAACGAATGTCTATACAAACCCTCAATTTGTGACTAGTGTTGTCTCATCAGAACCTAGAGATGGAGGAGGAGTTGAGAATAATCAAGATGGAGAGGGCGCATCGGATGCTGAAAAAGTGAATAGTGACGATGCGATTAAACCAAATCCAGTCGTCCCGCAAGTGAACGCGATAGATAATAAGATAGAACAGGCTATGGACCTGGTTAAAAGCCATCTTATGTATACAGTTAGAGAAGAAGTTGAAGTGTTAAAAGAAAAAATTACTGAATTAATGGAAAAAATTCAACAATTGGAGACTGAGAATAATTTTCTTAGATCACAATTACCTAAAAATCCTAGTGGTACTCCAGATCCACCACAATAAAAGCCAGTTAGAATAAAAAAACTGACGAATAAAATATTTATGGCTAACGTTAGTCCTCCCCCTAATATTTTGTATACTCTCGTATATTCGCTTAATTTACATATAACGGAAATGATAAATATGGGTAAATTGTGGGAAACTACATTTACTCATTACCTATACATTTATGTAATTAAGTTCTTTTCCCTTTTTTGTAAGTTTAAATCAATTATTGGTGACTAAGAAAAGTTTTAAATCGTCCAATAATTGAATTTAAAATCTTTTTTCTTTCCCCCTACTCAAAGTGTATTTTGCGAGATCATACCGAACGAAAGTGATGCTTCTTCTGGACAGTACAGGGTGTTTTAGACCATAGATAATCAGAAAACTATGACGAATTTTGAAATGGCAAGAGATTGATTCAATTTCTTTGTATAAAAACAATTTTTTTAACATTGTAATCATCTTTGGTGGTAATACTTTATACATATCATGATATACAGGGTGAAACCCTAAAAATTGAGTTTCTAAGATATAAAATGTTAAATAATAACAAATTTGAATTAAAATTATTTTTATTTAAGATTTTTAATATAATAACAATGTATTAAGATACAGAATGTTGAATATTTTTGAATCAATTTTTAATTATGAAAGAATTGGTTTAGTTTTTACTATTTCAATATTGAATCTCTTGGAACTTTCTCTTTTCTGAAGTCTACTACTGATTTTATATTTAACACATCAATATGGCAAGATTGAAAATATACTGCTTTTGACTGTTAATAAATAGTCATTAGCACTGAATTATAAAATAAGGTTTCTTGAGATGAAGACGAATTGGAAATAGTATTCTTTAATATATGCAATGTGAGGCGAAAATAATGAATATCTTTAATTTCGTGATAACATACGCACCAAAGTATTATGATGGAATGTATTAACTAGCGCTAAGCAAAGTGATAACAACTAAGTTTATTTTAAAGCTGCTTTTTTTGAAATTTTTGGTGCTAAACTTTTTTTAACACAGCTGGTTTATGTGTATATAATTTAAAGATTTGAGGTTTTCACTTTTTGCCTAAAGTACCAAGAATCTTCTGTGGTAGGGTATATATTGTGCTGAAGATTTGCAATCGTTGAAATGTTATGATTTGAACATTTAATTGATAAATTAATCTGCCAGTTAACATTCCACTGCCCCCTACTTTCGTTTTTAAAGCTTCTTTATCTTGTCTCAAACTCTAATTTTTGCTTAGTGATAATTATTATTGTTTGGCATCAACAATCCTTTTATATTTTGCTATCTTATGCAATTATTAATTATATAATAAATCATCCAAGTAAACTTGCTGTAAAGAGAAGAAGAAGCTGTCTTTCAATATTATTAATTCCTCGGATGCTTTTTTTGTTTTATATTTCACAATTTTTTATACTTTTCTTCCTAGATATATTACTTTGGTTGCTGAAATACCCTAAATATGATTGTACCTTTGAATTACAACAAAAATAAATAATATTTTGCGGTTGTTGATTCCAATTCCAATGTTTGCCCATTCTTTCTCTCACACGACATCAAAAATATTGTCAATGTAGTTTTTTATAAGTTTACATAGACTCTCAAGTGCAAATGATTACTCACTTTATGGATGACTATCACAGTAATCTTGCAAGAAATCAAATCTGCACTTTGTTGATATCATAAAACATTTCTATATATCAGTAAATAATTATGAATGTATCTAGCATGATGTGTCCTGAATAAAAATGATACTTTGTAGAACGATGCTATTTCAAAGACGGTTCGAATGGTTTTAACTTGCCATTATTAAATAAAACTCATAAAATCAATGAAAAGGGTTTCTTTTTTATTATTGTAATTAATCATTATTTGCATTGATTTTCAAAGGCAAGGCGTTGGAATGATTAATATATCCAGCTTTAAGTTATAATGATCCTCTATTACACAAATGTTTTTTTCTGGTCACCTTTTGTTCACTGTTTTGCCTGCACCAATACTGATTCCAATAATAAAAAACCGTTTCAACGTTCTTAAAAGTTTTATTTAATAATTACTTAATAATGGGATGAACAGTTATTAACGTTTTTATTCCAGGAACAACTTATCATTAACTTTGAAAAACTCGTTCAGCAACGATTTTCTAGATTCAGAATATGTGTGGAAACATATTTTTCTAACGCTAACATAAGGAGTTGTAACCAAAACCCTTTAAGGCGAATTTGTTTCTGTTATTGTTACATTGCAACAACTTAATTCAGATGTAATTTCTTTTCAAATTTATTATTGAATGTGTTGACTGTATTAATGAATTTGCGGATTTAAATTTATTGAATAAGAGAGAAATCCCATTCATGCCAAATATATTTTTCTAAAAACTGTTTTAATTTGAAGAAAGTCGATATCATGAAATAAAAAAGTTAGAACATTGTTTAAAAAATCAAAAAGATTTAAAATGATTACAATATTAAAAAAAAATGTTCTTTTACAATGAAATTTGCATAATTTATCCAACTTTATATCTCTTGCCATTTCCAAGTTCTCTATTATCAAATTATCTGAGATATCCTGTATATGTATTAATATTATACCGAGTGTCGTGTTAAATTATATAATTCGACCACTCTACAATTAATTTAATTTAATTTTAATTAAATGTAGAGACTTATACTCCTATAGAATAACGACTATAAGCGATTAGTAAACTTGCTGCAAATAGTAATGTTAATAGCCGTTTAAAAAAAAATTGGTAAAAAAAACCTAGATGCAGTAAAGTGTGCACGCTATATTTATTGTTCATTTAGTAGAAGATTCAAGATTTTCATGCATTTCTGTATTCCTAGTTAGTAAAAACAGTATCGTTTAATTATTTTCTTAAATGTGTCGTTTAAAAATATGAAAAGAATTATTCGTATAAAAGTTATACAGTAGAACAAAATACCGAATAAGTATCACTCTCAAAAAAAAGACAAGAACATGAAAAATCATATAGATCTTTTTTTAATCAACAATTAATGTGTTTTCTGTTTTCATCTTAAATTTTAAAGCTTTTTTCGTTCGTTTTGAATTGGTTGGCCCACGGAGTTTAAATCTGTAAGAAAAATGTAAATTATGTAATTATGTATAGATAGATAAATATATACGTTTAAAAAAAAATGGAAATTAAAAGAATAACAAGAAGAAGTGAAATGGAAGCCAAATTTTCAATTTGGTGCTATTTGAATCTGTGATTTTGTGCGCGGTTTCATTTTTGTGCTCGAAAACTCCAAAAAAAAAAAAAAGAAAAAAAGTAATGAATAAAAAAGAAAATAAATTCTGCTCTGTCATCACTATTTTTATATTTTTAAAATTGTGTATAAAAAAAAACATAAAGAGTGAATTGTATATCATTTTTAAGAGAAATTTATATTTTGCGTTGAACTAGATTTTAAGGGTAGCGATGAAAAAAAAAAACAGCACATTAAAAAAATATTTAATAGGAAAAAAATTTACTCATAAAATTAGATTGTAATTCTGGAATAATTAGAATCAAACCGAAATGGAAGTTTTTATTTCTCACTAAGTTTTTAGAGTTATCATAAAAATATGCATACAAAAAAATATATTTGGAGCTTCTATTCCTATTTCTATGCCTCGCTCTTTTTAAGAAATAAATATGGAATCTGACGACACAGAAATAACAAAAATGAATTTTAAAAAAATGTTACTTGTAATAATAATAATTACGATCTGATTTAATTTTATTGTGACCATTTCAAATAGAAAACAAAAAACAGTACGAAGATGCATTACTTTTAAAAAAATACTATCAATAAAAATAAAATAGACTGGTTTTCTTTAAGTTAATCTGTCATAAATAAATAAAAAAGTAAAACGTTTTATACGAATCAAATAGGGATTATCGCCCATTTATCACACGGCGTTTATAGGAAAGAACTTTTTTTAAGTTTTAAAACTTATTAGAATGAGCTAGTTGAGAGTGTAGACTTTAATGGCTGTGTTGTTATGAAGTGTTATTGTATCGTTTTTTTTCTCTCCTATTTTCAACTTTTACCTATTCTTTCCTCTATAAAAAAAAGAATGAAATTGAATTGAAACATAACATATTGTACGCATTACCGTTTTTATTATATTTTATTTGTCTACTCGCTACATTTTTATTTATTTCTCCCATTTCTAATTTTTTTTTTCGTCCACCACATGTTATCATATATATTTCTTATTTAGTTACTTCACTTATTGAATTCGACTATATTTTACTACACTATAGGCAGATATTTACAATAAAAACTGTATTTAATCGCTTTTTTTGGTGTTATTTATTTTTTTTTGTAATAAAAGAACCTAATTCCTTTCTCAAAATAAAAAGGATATGAAAAGTATGATTTTTTAGTCATATTAATGATAATAACAAGTAGAATTATGCCTTCATTTCATAGTTTTATCTCTTTCTCTTCAGTCGTTGTCCGATTTCGGACGTCGTGACTCGTTTATGTCTTCTACACAACACTTGGAAAATCGAGATCTGTGCTAGATTGTTTACTTGATCTATATATCTCATCGGTGATCTGACTCTTGACTTTTTGCCATCAAGCTTCCCCTGTATCATGACTTTTTTCATGCCGTCCTTCCGTATTGCATTACCGAAGAAATTAAGTATGCGACGTTGTTGGTAGTAATCTGTCATCGCATATTTTTAGTTCTTCTAGAATATATGCATTAATGCGATATGTAGTCCAAGATATTCTCCACATTTTTCGGTAACATACTATTTCAAAAGGTTCAATCCTGCTTCAACATATAGCATTTATATAGATTCTGAGGTATGTGTTGCAATAGGAAACGCTAAAGATTTCAGAAGTCTTCATTTCAGGGTTTTTGTAGATTTTAACAAGCCATCAAAAAACTTCGTTTACTATTCCAATTCTTCTCTTCATCTCTTGTTCTGAGCTGCCCCTATTTGTTATTTTCCTGTCCATAGATGATCTGAGCTAAGTGATGTTTCCACTCACATTCTCATACTTCAAACGTTAGATTCTTCTGTGTGTCAGCTTCTTGCGCGGCCATAACAGTTTTGCAATACCAACACCATTTTTCTACGATGTCAGGCGTCGTTGTCAGTCTGACATCGGTGGAATCTTTAATTAGAAGGGTTTTTGAGAGCATCTTGACTTTTTTAAATAGATCCCGTGGTTGGTTTTGGTGTGCATGTTCGTTCTGTTAATCCTAAGCCTTCTGTTAATGTTTTTTCTCGGTGTTCTATATGATTGGTCTTCGTTCTCTTGTAATCCTTTAATTTTTAACTTGTTTCGCTCAGAGATCGTTTCCTAAGTATCTTGCCTTATCCATGGTTTGTTTTGTTGGTTTTTCTTAGGATTTACAGATGTAGCAGTGAGCTCAATAGCGTGTTTCATTTCTGTCCAAAGTTCATCAGAGTTCATTTGGTTCTTTCTTGTAATATTTTGTCAAGACTATCTCTAACTGCACATTGAAAAGCTGAATTGCATATTCCAGGTGCTTATCTTATGCATTGTCGGTTTTGATTTCTGTTTTCCAGTCTCATATTTCCTATGGGATGCTTGATCACCTACTCTTCCATAGCCAGTAGCCAACTTCATACTCTTAGTCCTAGTGCTTGATTATCGAGTGCCAGTCGGCTTGCATGGCGTTTTATTTTTTGCCTTCAAGCTAGAGTCCATGTAGAGTTTCCTCGTGTTAGGTACACTAGGGTCCCTCTCATTTCTGTGGCTTAGTGTTATACCCGGGTAAATCTTATGTGGTTATCGCCTTTAAGTGTATGATTTTGAGTCCTTAGAGGAGTTATTTCTATGGTCTGAGATCCCTAGGTCATGTTAGTTTTGCTCTGCCCTAGACATCAATTACATTTTGAAATCTTGTTGAATTTATCTTACTTTGTTATCATCTTTTGAATTTGCGTTCAAAAGTTCGACTGGTGGTATTCTAACATTTCGAATTCAAAAAACAAAAATGAACTCAATTCTTAATTTCTTAACAATTATTTTAAGTGTCAGGATTGTGCATAAAATCATCACCCTTTTCTTCTGACTTTGACACATAATCAATTTAGTTAATGTTCTAGCTCTCCTCGAGCAATATTTTAGAACTTTTTTGTTTATACATGTCGAAAAAGTAAATTAAACTCATTTAAAATTATTTTGTTTTAGGAATGATATTCAGTATGTGCGGATTGATGATGCGTTTAAAATGGTGCGCATGGGTTGCTTTGTATTGTTCCTGCATTAGTTTTGCAAATTCAAGACTTTCCGACGACACCAAACAGGTAATAATAATTTTTTACGTTCAAAAACAATTCTAGGAAACTATTTTTCTTATTTCTAGATTTTAAGTTCATTTATGTTATCAATCTCAGCTATAGTAATGTCTTATTTACAAAACCCACAACCTATGACACCGCCATGGGCTTCATCGGGAAATTAAAAATTAATTGAAAAATTAGATAAATAATGTTGTAGTTGGGTTTTTATTATAAAAAAATACATTTATAAACACATAACAAATCATGGTAATACGTTTATCTATCACAGTTTCCTTCCTATTAAATCTTTTTTCCTTCATTATACAACAAATTATTGTGATTAAAAAGAATCATTTCATTTATAAAGCAACATCTCTATATTTCTGTACATCATCAGTCGAAGTATTACTTAACGAGTTTTTACTATTAAATTTATCGATTTGTTTCTTATAAATTAAAAAATCAGGGCCGTCTAAAGGTCCGTAATAAATTGGAACACCATAATTTTCGATGGGTTGGGCGTAAAATCCGGTTCTATGTTGAATTATATGACTTCCTTTATTATCTTCGTTTAAATTATCCAACGAAGCAAATTTGGTCATTTTAGATGAAGTTCTTCGATTTAAACTTAAAGTGTATCCGGGATATGTTCTATCATTTTCTAAAAATTGACCCGGTGTCCATTGAGGATAAATCGGAGCTAATTTTTCTTCAATTATTGGATGGTCTTCTAAGATTCTTAGATCCATTAACGATTGAGATTTTTTAACTGAAATTAATTTAATTAATATGGAATAAAATGAATTATTAATATTCTTACCCGCTGCTTCATTGCTTCCATCAGTAAGGGAAGATTTTGGGACAAAAACGCTAGCGTTAAATTCACTTGTCGTACAAAATTGATAACCATCAAATAGAAATGGTCCAAGATTATTTGGTACAGCGGTGTTCCAAAGTAATGGCATAGAAGTTGCTCTAAAAGAATGTTTTTAATATAACTTTTATTACGATTTTTTTATCCTGTACCTTTTTAAATTATTTACATGGTCATACGAAGAATCGTATGCGTTATTTTGGTACCCGTGAACTGCACTTAAAGCACCAAGACTAGCAGGATCTCTTGGAAGGGTAACTGCGGTCATATTCAAATCTCGTAGCCTTTTATCGACTAATTCCTCTTCCTTCCAAATCGTGTACAACGATTGGATTGCAACGAATCCAATTACGTTGGCTACAATTCTAGCTAACCAACATGCTAATTCTGTCATTCCATATATTGTTTCTATTCTCTAAATAAAAAAATTAAATTTAATAAAATAATTGAATTTTTTTTAATAATTTTTACCCAATATTGGATGCTTAAATAAATGACTAATCCGGCTTCGGGAAATGTTAAAATTGTTACTGATATCATCCAAGCAACGAGACAAAACGTATTTTTCTAAAAAAAAAGGAAATTTAGATTATTAATTAAAAACATTTTTTCCCATTTAATTAAAAAGTGGAACATTTAGAAAGCGAAAACATAACGAAATAGTAACAATAATTTAAAAACGCATTGAAAACTTTCCCAACTAAGGTTCGGTTTTGTCTGTTCTAAGAAATGATAAATACATTTTCGATTTCCTCCTTTTTAAGTCGATTATACAACCAAAACGAGTTAAATATCGAAAGGAAATCGTTACGTTTATTGATATTTACTATTAGTAACGTTGCGTTTCTGCGTTGATTGTCGTCAAGACCGCGGTGAAAGTGGAAACGTGGAGAAAATTTATAAGATAATGATAAAATAAAGGAAATTTACCGTCGCCAAACCGTGAACTAAAAGTGCTGCGAATAGAGCCAAAGTAAAATATCCCGCGCATAGTAATATCGCTACCGTTGGTGGTTGATTGTGTGATTCCAAAATCCATATTAATTCGAATGCGAAAGCTATTAAATAAGCTATCTGAAAATTAAATAAAAAATTATTATTAAAATAATATTAGAAAATAATTAGTATTAAAGGTAAAGAAAATGAAAAGGTTAATTAATTCTTGTTTTAATCGTTAATCCCACTTAATAATTTATATATATGTACAGTGTGATCCATTTAAAAGTGGGACAACCTCATAAACTTAGTATTTGTCGCTCTTCTAACTCCCTCTCCCCCTTCTTGGGTCTTCCTCTCACTCTTTTTGCGGTGGTATACTCTCCGTTTCTTTTTTTTGGTAATCTGCCCTCCGCCATTCGTTGGCCATACCATACAAGTTAGTTTCTCTCAATATCTTTCATCATTGTCTCTTATCTTTTGAACTATGTGAACATATTAATTTCTGCTAATGTTCAATTTACGACCTTTGGTCACTTAGAAAGAAAAGATTTTGAAAATATTGTTAAGAAATTAAAAGTGAAACATTCGAACAAGTCATGAAAGCCAGAGAGATGAGAACCCTAAGAACTATTACGGGCTTAAGCCTGCGTGAGAGGATAACTGAATTGTGCGAGATACAAGATGTGGTCAGATAGAGAAGATACATGATGGTTAATGTTGATGGGTGAGGAAAGATTGGTAAAGAAAATCCAAACATAAAAATCAGACACCAGGCGACTCTTAGGAAGGCCACATAAATGCTGGCATGAGAATTAAACGTCGTCATCACAAGATAACGGAACCAAAGGAACGGAAATGCGATGCACTGTTTGGACACACCTTTAAATCATCGAATCTCGCAACCCTCCTCATCCAGCAAAAAGTGCCTTCGACAAGATGGAGATACCATGGATATGCCTTAATAACTTTTAATAAGATTGAAAACATGAAATTTTTTCAGTGTTATTTTTTTATTTAAAATTCATGACAATGAACAAAAAGAATGCGAACACTAAGTGATTAACACAATGTGTATTCGACTCAGGTTAGCTTTTTTTTAAAACGGTTTAAAACGAAATATAACGAATAAAAGCGTACAAACTTTAAAAGGACCTTTTCCTGTCTATTTAAACGCCTCGGCAGCATGAAGTTGCAACGGTATTGCGTAGGTGTACTATTTCCATTTAAAGAAAAATGTGTCAAGTACCTTTAAGAATTAATTCCAAAGAAATTATGACACTAACAGCATAAATTATGAGTTACTAAGAAATAATAATTTTCAAAGAAATTTCTTTTGTAATGTAAACAAGAATGAAATAAGAATTGTTTTATAAAAATAATCAAGAATTTTGTTGGTTTAAAGAATTGGCTAAGAAATTGTTATTGTTTCTTGATTTTTTTCTTGGCCATAAACAAAGAGAACAAAAAGAAATAGAATTTACCGGTTGTTAAACAATTTGAATGGTATTAAGCAAACTGTGTAGTTAAGAAAATCTTGTTAAAAGAAAATAAGAAATTTCGCAAGGTGTTCTTTTATCTTTTTTAAAAGGAAATGGTGTTTTCAACTCAACGACAAACTATGGTTCATAAAAAAAAGGAATAAGTAAGAAAGGAAATGCAAAGGTTAAAAAAGTTAAAAGAACTTCTAGGACTTCAACTCATTGTTGGTGTGGGTAAATAAAGCAATTTCCTGCCCGTTTAACTACCAGAAGACAATAAAAGTTCACAACGCTTCAAAATTAAAAATTTAAGTTACCTACTTTCGAAGAAAACAAAGAAAATAAATAAAAAACATTGAAAATATTATTCGCAAAAATCATCAAATAAATTTCTTTAAGATCAGAAAAAAAAGCCGTATTTTCCCGTACGAATTATCAAAGGATTTGGTACGCAACAAGTGATTTCATAAGAACCACACACTCACACAGGTTGTTTCTTAATCAATAGGCGTTACATGAACGGTTTATTTTAGTCTTAGGTGGTCTTAAAGTTTGTTTTCGAAATCTATTATAAATATAGGTTCTTGTGAAAGATAAACAACTTGTTTTTCTTTCAAAATTAGATTAAGACAAATATGGAAATAGAAAAATAGAGTTGTCCCTATTAAATTATACAATCACGTGGTGAAATTAATTATTTTTCTTCGATTTCTTTTTTTTCTAGTTCATTCAAATAACGGAATGAAAAAAATAAATAATACGGGTAAAATCCCGTTTCGTTTTAAATCGGAATCTAAAAGATGCAATAAACCTAATGGATGCAATTTAATCCAAGAAAAACAAGAAGTAGTGGTCAAGGTTGATGAGGACAGGAAATAGATGTGTAAATGGGTTATAAAAACATAAAAGTGTCATTAAGGGAAAATTAAAAGTAAATTAAATTAAAAATAATTTAGTTAGAAAGAGTACAAAAAAAAACTTTCTAACTAACGTTATCATTGTTATAAATTTTTCTCGGTCGATTCTTTAAATAATTATTAACGCCGAATGAACAATCTTTACACACGGTTAAATCTTCTTTTTTCCATCGTTAGTGTTAAAACTGTTAAACTCATGGAACGTGCAATTAACAAAACAATAGACATGATAATGCGCGGTTTAATTAAGAGAGTGTATAAGAAAAATTATTAGTGCCAGTAATAAAAAAATAATTCTGTGAGGTGCGTTTATTACCTATGGTGGGTTATAAAGTTTAATCGTTGTAATGCACACAAAATATATTTGCTTATAGTATATTTTTAGATTGAATCGTTCTGATTTTTTCAAGTTAAGATTAATCAGGTTTTGACTACACAGCATTAGTTGTAAAAATTTTAAGATATCTTCAAAGAGATGCGATTTCGATGAACAATATAACTGCAGAAAGTTGAAGATTTTGGAAAGTTTCTTTATCCATACGATTTTTAGTGTGATGAATGATAGAAAAGAATAAACGCTAGATATAATATGTTGGCAAAGTTTGTAGTAAAGCAGCTGATGATAATTAAAACATATCTACTTGGTAAAAAGATGGATGACCTGAGATGTGTTCATATTGGTGATAATTTAAGTGGAACTGAAAAAGTTTTTACTTTCCAGACTTCTTTCTGTATCGCTCCATAGTGAACTGCTTAACAACTTTATCAAAACGAGAACGAGATCAGATTTTCCATGAGATAAACACCTGTGATAAATACCGGCAGCATCGTTGATATTCTTTCTACATTTGCCATAAATGAATAAGATTTCAAGTTTTTCTTGTACACTTACATAATCGTTAGTGTAAACTTGAGCTTTATGCGTGACCAAAGAGTTTTACTTTTATGTTTAATTATTTGTTCTTTTATTTACGTGTATTCTTTTCACTTTCAATTACACGAGTTTAAGAAAAACACAAGATATAATTAAGTATATTTTCAAACAGAAATAGCAGCTACAAACCCTAAAAGACGTCAGCTATATTTAACAACCTTGCAATCAACTTCCTTATTGCCTTGATCATCATTGTTATAGCACAAAACATAGTGTCAAAACATAGTCACGCTCTTCTAAGTGTTAGCATACCGTAAGATGGGGCTACTTGGCCATCCCGGGGCTACATGGACACAACGCATCCGTGTTCAGATCTGTGCCACGAAAGCGAGGTTAGATTATGTTTTTGTTTCTGGTGCTCTTTTTCTTGTTATTAAAGGAAGTCACTGATTAAAAATGGTGCGCATGTATCAAAAAACTCCAGGGTCAAAATCCTACATGAATTACAAAGTGAAAGTCTTGGAAAAGGCTATGGAAGCAGTTCGGAACGGGATGTCAATGAAAAAGGCCGCAGAAAAGTTCAAAGTGCCTCGGACAGCATTACTACGGAAGATGCTTGAAAGGAATTCAGCACCCGTTGGACATCCGATTGTTTTAAGCAAGTCTGAGGAGCTGTTGATTTCTGAACCTTTTGGTTTCCGACATTTGAGATATGGTGAAAAAATACCTTCAAGGTCTTCAAAAACAACAGTCCAGGTCCAGAGTCCATTGATTCTTTTATCGCTAGAAACAACCTGTTTATCAGAATAGCGACGACTCATTACAACATTTTTTAACAACCCTAACTTTACCCTTTCTTCAGTGAAAAGTGTAAACCTATATAATGATGATGTGTCCAAGAAGCCCCAACAACGGGGCTATTCGGACATCACTTTTTTATATATTTGTTGTTGTTTGTATAAGATATTTTCAAAGTTTTATGATAGCTATATAATCCTGAAGGTTAGGTTGGTATGATGAACAAGTTTCTATTGCCCTAACTTTATTTCTTCACTTTTAATCTTGAAAAATGCGCAAAAAACGTGTCCAAGTAACTCCATCTTACGGTACATTTTCTTGACGTTAAGAAACATAGGATTGAAGCTATTCTTAAAAAAACAGAAACCAAAAGGAAATTTATTTTGCAAGTTAATGCCCAATTAAATTGAGATGGTAATCGAAATACTGCGCATTGTATAGCAACAAAAAGATCAAATCTAAATACAATTACCAACTCTCCAGAGGAATATTTTCGTCGAATTCTTTACATATATTATATTTTTCTTCAAAATCAAGCCGGTTTGAAGAAAATAACACACCAGCATATACTTTGGCTTACTGCGACCGAAGTTTTTAACCCAACATATTTAATTCTCTCTGCCACCAAACTACTGACTCAGATTATATTACTGCTTTAAGATTAGCTGAAGGTGCTTGCGACCGAGATTCTATAATTAATATCATGTTAACCAAAATTGATCAACATATTGCAACCTCGATTAAACTTTGGGCGGAGAATCTATGACTTCGCCTAATTAAGCAGAAATCGCTTACGGATGAGGTGCATCAATATATTGATCAACTTCGCTTGACATGATATTAATTGCAGAGCCTTGGCTGCAAGCAACCTCGGTTTAATTAAACAAAGTCATAGATTCTTTGCTTTGAGTTTAGCTGAGGCGCCGCAATGTGTTGATTAGTTTTGGCTGATCAACACATGGTGATTTTGGCGATCTTGGCTTAATTAGACAAATCCTCCTCAAGGCCCTTTGTGCTTGCTGCAATGTGTTGATTAGTTTTGACATGATATTAATTGCATAACAAATTTAACACTTCATGATAATTTGAATTGTCATCACATTGAGGAGAGTGATGACGTGGCTTAGGTCTGACCATCAAATGGTAACACGGGCTGGGTGGACTATGCATACTAAGTGTCCATCGAGAGAAGGTGAAGGACAATGATAAATTTAGCAATGCTGTTGTTAGATATTTTTGCTCTGACTTCAAGGAAAATTATTTTTGTTTTTACTAATCAATTTTCTACTTCCTTTTTACATTTGAAAATTGTTTTAAATCATTATCAATTAACACCCGGATGAATAGTGATGAAAAGTAGCTAGATCAAGTATTTGATATTGAACCGACCTTTGAAATTCAATTTCCTTTTTGAATTTTTTTCGTTTTCTTCGAAGAATCGAAGGAAGGAAGGTGACCATGAATGAATGCAACACAATAACTTCGTGTGACATCACCACAGGTAGAGAATACGATTTGTGAATTTCCTGCGGAGGGTTTCTTAAAAAGGATTCTTAGTTGAAGGTTAAATGAAAATATAAGGATAAGAATTTTTTATTTTTTGATTCACTATCGTTACGCTATAAAAAGAAATATTTCAATGAACATGCTTGTAATGACTCATTCCCAATGAATTTTTTAATCTCTCATTTTTTCATACATTTCAATGTTTTGTAAATCGTTTTTTTTTTTGCAATAAATTAATTTTAACTTACCAATAAATAAATTCCTAAAAATCCGCAACCAATAGCCAAATTACAACAAAAACACCTATCTAACAAAGCCATTTTAAACGACATTTACATTTTTAACTTTTTCACCACACTACATATTGATTTATTGAAGTTATTTTTTCTTAAATATTTCTTGTTCAAATCTTTCTGCACAAATTAAAAAAATCGCGTTCAAATCAACTTCAATTCGTTCGGTTGTAAAGGTATGTTGAACGCTCGAGGTGTTGTTGCAAAACTGTGAGTGAGTCTCAAACTCAAGGTAAAGGAGCTCGAAATGTGGTAGTAGAACCGCGTCTTGCGCCGCAACCGTTCAATTTTTTTTATTAACTCTTTTTTAACGTTTTCAAAACTGAAAAAATCGAAACGATTTTTTTAATCGAATTTTTTTAACCGACTTTATCATTTTATTTTTTTGAATTTATTAAAAAATTTTAAATCAATTATTAATAACGATCCGAATCGAACGTAAGCTTCGACTCGACTGGCAAGTTGTTAATAAGTTTTTTCTTCGCGTTTTGTTAAAGATTTTCGTCACGTGTGAAACCGGTAAAGTACTTTCTCTTGTGCCTCCACCTTTTAATGTAATCGTACAATGAACTAATAAGAATAAAAAAACTTTTCAACCTGTTTTAAAAAAAATACAATCGAATCGAAAGGAAGATTTAGAATTTAGTAGTTTTTGATTAACATTTGATGAGATTAAAATACTATTTTTAAAACATTTTAAGCCAGGCTTGCTTTATCTATACAAACTATACAAATTTTTGTAACAATCTAACGCTGAATAACAATTAATACTGGAGCTACTACTAGAACTAGAACTTCTAGGTTTAACATTAATTTTATTTTAAGTTCAATCAAAATGTTCAACAATCTAGCACTGAATAACTAAAACTAAAATAAAACTAACACTATACCTAGAACTAGAATCATTTGGGTTTAGCCCCACGTCTCTAATGACGGCTAAACCCGAATGATTCTAGTTCTTGGTCTAGCGCTGAATAACAATTAAAACTAGAACTAACACTAGACCTAGAACTAGCTTCGGGTCTGAAGACGCACGGCTAAACCCGAAACTTTCTCGTTCTAGGTCTAGTGTTAGTTCTAATTTTCCACTAGCACTGTTATTATGTAGAACTAACACTATACCTAGAACTAGAATCATTTGGGTTTAGCCGCACGTCTCTAAAGACGGCTAAACCCGAATGATTCTAGTTCTAGGTATAGTGTTAGTTCTAGTTTTACACTTACACTGTCGGTAGAACTAATATTAGACTTAGAAACATTCGGGTTTAGCTGTACGTCTCTTAAGACGGCTAATGATTCTAGTTCTGGGGTTAGTTCTAGTTTAATAACAATATACAATAATCTAAGGCTATTCACAACTAAACAAGAACTAACACTAGATCCAGAAACATTCGGGTTTAGCCGTCTTAAGAAACGTATGGCTAAACCCCAATGTTTCTGGTTCTAGGTCTAGTGTCAGTTCTAGTTTAATAAAAATATAAAAACGTATGAAGATGCACAGCGAAACTTTTTCACATATCACGTCTGTACATCGATTGTAAAACTGTCAAAATGGGCAAAACTAAATTACATACTTATAAAGACAAAAGCATTTCTAAAGAATCTGCAACACAAATTTACAAAAGTATATGTCTCAAATATGCCCTCAAACTCAACCAAGACAATAATTAAGAAAACTGAAAGAAAATGTCTAAGAATTTGGCCAAAATTAGAGACCCAAACAATCCCTTCCACAATATTTTTAATGAGGTCTTACCAAAACCAAAATTGAACCAATTTGTGTAAGACACAAACGTTTAAAAGTAAAATTAAAAAAAAAAAAACGCCCTACTCAAACCATGTCAGACACTTGTGTATGAAGATGGATCTAATTTAATTACAGATATGTTAAAAATTATAGACTTATCATTGTAAGCAAAAAGACCCACTGGCAGTTTGATAGCTTAAATAAAGTTATAATAAAACAATTTAAATTTGGATCTAATTTATTTCATAGTTTTTAACAAAAAAATGCTTTTCACATTACTAAATATTTCCCATTTTTTTAAATATTTTCTTAATGATGTTCCGCAGCTTCCCTTTTACGAATTTCAGCCCATTTAGCAACGTTTTCAGGAGAATTAGCTGCAAAATAAATACAAATTATTTTTCACCATAACAAATCATATTCTTTTGAATAAAATACCTAAGTTGGAGATCTTTTTAAAGACTGGTATGCAAACTACAAAGGCGACGGCATAATATTTCCAGATCCATTGCTTTGTAAAGTAAAATTTCCATGGGAATTGGGCGATTTTTGCTGAAAATGTGTACGGATACTTCATGGGTCTTCCTAGTGGTTTCGAAGAAGCGGCGTCTCCCATTTTAATTGCTTAAAAATTAATAATAAGATATGTTAATTGAAAATATTAATGAGTTAAATTTATAACCGTAAAATTACATGAAATTTATTTAATCTAGTGGGTTGTCAATGGTTTATGTAATCACCTAACCTATACATTTTTAGGAATAACTTGTTTTAAGATTACATAAGAAATTTCAGTAGAAGAAAGTTTAAACAAGTTTTATGTAAGAAAAATAAACTTGTAAAGTTGATTTTTTTAATTAAAATTATTAAATAAAACGCAATTTTGCTAAAAACTTACATTTTTATATAATCCGATCGATCAAGAACACCTAGTATAATGCCAACTGCTAAAAATTTAAATTCCTGGTGATTTACGATACGGTATAACTTTGGCGGGAAAATTAAAACTTAATTGATTAAAATTATTTTTATACTAAAAATATTGCATATAATTGTTAATAATTATTACTATTAAAGGTAATTTTCCTTTAAATTTTATACCCTTTCTAGAATTTAGCTAACAAACAACATTTACAGCAAAAATAGTGTGCAGAAAAATTAATAAATTGAATATGTGTTAGAAAAGAATATAGAATTAAATTAATTTTGTTAATTAATCGTATCCTAGCTTCATATCCATTAAAAGTAGTGATTTACTCGAATTTTTGGTATTTGAGCAACATCTATCGTTTGATGGCTGAACTTTAATTATAAAAAAAGGGCGGTAATTTTAAAATTCTTCCAAAATATTATTGAGTAATCGAGCTTTTTAATCCCTATTTTAGTTTGTAACTTATTTGACTTTCTATTTCATTATTTTATTAACTTCTTAACTTACAATCTTGTAATTTCATCAAGCATCTCCTGTGCTTTGCTTGATACGCCGTTTATTTATGATTCTTTTGTGGATTTATTCTGTCCAATCCAATCTTCTTTTGAATCCTTCTCGATTTGATGCTAGGGTGTGATTAAGTACTGCGTTGATTAAAAAACAGCTCTTTTATTGTTCAACTGGATTTGCAAATTGACTTAGGTTCTAGTATTCTTCTTAGCTTCTTTGTAAATAGGTCTTGATTAAGGACTTTGATGTTTTTGTACGTGTTGATTATACTTTTTTGTGTTAATCCATCGTTTGGTTTGTACTTATTATATTTCCCTGGAAGTAGGCGTCGATCATCTTTTCTTGCAACCCATCTTGCCAAACGGAATCGCAAGCTTTTTTGACATTTAGTACCACTGTAATGTTGTCTCTTCTTATGGACAAGTTCCAATGTATTAGCGAGATTCACAGCTTGCTGTACTTCTCTTCTACCTTCCCAGGACCAAATTCATGCTTCGAGGGTAAATCTTTCTCTTCAACTTCTTTTTGAAGTAATTTTCAATAACCCTATCAGTAGACTTAGTAGATGGGTTACCTATTTCTAACACATTCGGAACTTTCTAGTTCTAAGTGTAGTGTTAGTTTCAGTTGTAGTTTCTTTTAGCCGTGAAAACAGAAGTTTTCCACATTCCCATTAAATGATTTCAAAATTTATTTTTTGTTTTCTCATAATTATTTTATTTCTCAATATTTCAACTTGCACGTCAACGTCCTCAACAACAAATATATTTGTGCAACAGATAACCCTTTTCGACCTATTCCAATTTCCTTATTTTTTATTATAAATAAATTTAGATTTATCAAATAAAATAGAATAGAAAACAAACTATTTACTTATTTTTGTGCACGATTAAACTAATTTATTTCGCATAACCATGCGATTTCGTGCCAAACCAATCCTCGGATGTGCCGTATAAATTACGTTATTTCCATTTGGTCATTATTATGCAACCGATAATAACTAGATAAATGTTGACCTATGGCATTGAAGCTAAAATCGAAAAACAGCTCCGATACATTTATTTTAAAATCACTTCGTTTTGGATCGTCTTTTAAGAAAATCGCTTTTTCTGTGCCGAAAAATGTCTTCCGTTCAAGGAAAAGTTCTCTCCGGAACTGACGTTTCTAGGTAAAAAAAAGATTCATAAAGCACCAAAGGTGTAATAATGTTTATTGATTTTAGGGAAATGCGAGAAGAAATGACCAAAGATGTTCAAAAATTAAGAGAAACTATTCCCGGATTTCAACCTGGATTGGCGATTGTTCAAGTTGGTGGTCGTGAAGACTCGAATGTTTATATTCGAATGAAAATTAAAGCTGCGACTGAAATTGGAATAAAAGCTGAACATATAAAATTACCTAGAACAATAACTGAAATTGAAGTTAGTTTTTCTAATTTTTTCCATATAAAATATTAATTCAATTTAATTTTAGCTGTTGAATAAATTAGAAAAATTAAATGGAGACCCAAAAGTTCATGGAATTATTGTTCAAATGCCTTTAGATTGTGATACCAACATTAATTCTCATTTAATAACAGATTCAGTTTCACCAGATAAGGATGTTGATGGGTAAAATTTAACTTTATGATTTTTTAAATTATTTATTTTAATATTTATTTAGATTAAATACCATCAACGAAGGAAAAGTAGCTATTGGAGATTTAACCGGATTTTTACCATGCACCCCAAATGGATGCATTGAACTTATTAAAAGATCTGGAGTTAAAATCGCAGGTTCCAACGCTGTTGTTTTAGGCAGAAGTAAAATTGTAGGAACCCCTGCTGCCGAATTATTAAAATGGCATCATGCCACCGTCACCGTGTGTCATTCAAAAACGTCCGATTTAAAAGAACAAGTAAGATAAAAGAATCAATTTTTTAACTCATTTCCTTTAACAACATTAAATCATGACTAAAACATTTCCTATTGTTTCTTTTATCAAGATTATTAACATTCATTTCCTCCGCCAACATTTTTTATTACTTACTCGTTTTTAATTCTAACATTCTTTACTGATTTAACACTATCATTATTGCTTTGATTTTAGTGCAAAAAAGCTGATATTTTGGTTGTTGGAATTGGAAAAGCTGAATTGGTCAGAGGAGATTGGATTAAACCAGGTGCTGTTGTTATTGATTGTGGGATAAACGCAATTCCAGGTAAATATAAAAATTTGATCTGTACTTTTATTGGTATTTCTTGCTGATGTTCGTCATAAGTCGGTCAATAACTTTATTCAGAATCTTTTCGATATTATTAATCTCGTTTGGATGATCAAAATTTTTCTTCAAGTATTTGAGAGTTTTTCTCCATCGAAATGATGCATAAGAATGCACTCTTCGTGAAAACATTAAGTTAGAATTCATAAATACCTTAATAAAGAAATACATCAACAATTTAAACCATCGAAAGTGTTTATCTCGATGTTAAATTCAAAGACTAAACTTATCTTAATTGAAATGACCTCCACAAAAAAAGGTCGCTTAAAAAAGTTACAAAAAACTTATCTCAAGTTAAAATCTAAACATAAAACTACAATGAAATTAATTCTGGTTCGAAATTAGTGAACATTTTTATAAAATTAGGTTGGTTCTAGTTTTAAATTCCAATTTAAGTCACCGCACAATTCCAATCCCCACCAAAAACCAATAAAATCTCATTAACAATCTCACTTTTTAACTTTCCACTTAACTGATATGACTTGTAAATCGATAATTAATCTATTTTTATTAGAATACCTAATATTCCATGGTTATCGGCCCCAAAGAGGTGATAATATACAAAAAAAGACTTTGTGGGGGGGATTTGTAGATAAACACCACAGATTAGACCAATATTTGTGTTCGTTTAGTGTTGAAAAGGTTGTCCTTTTATTGTGTTTGTTCTAAACCAAAAAAAATTGTAAAAAAAGTGTATTAAAATGTCTGAAAATACCGAAAATGGTAATAAAATAATATTTAAATAATTTTCAATTAGTTTTACATTTTTTTTGATTATTTTTTTAAATAACTTTTTAGATTCAACTAAGAAATCAGGGCAACGTCTTGTTGGAGACGTAGCTTATGCAGAAGCTGAACAAGTAGCTTCACACATAACACCAGTTCCCGGGGGCGTAGGACCAATGACTGTAGCAATGTTAATGAAAAACACAGTCTTAAGTGCTCAAAGAGCCGCAACAAAACTTTTAGAACCTTCTTGGAATTTCCGTCCGCTTTCTTTACATTTAAAAAGACCCGTCCCAACTGATATTAAAATAGCTCACGAACAAGAACCAAAAAATGTTAATCAATTGGCCGAAGAAATTGGTTTATATCCCAATGAATATTCACTTTACGGCAATAAAAAAGCAAAAATTTCTTTTGCATCCGTTTTAAAACGGTTGGAATCGCAAAAAGATGGAAAATACATTGTTGTTGCTGGAATTACTCCTACACCACTTGGCGAAGGAAAAAGTACAACATCTATAGGGTTGGTTCAAGCTTTAGGGGCGCATAAAAATAAAAATGCTTTTGTCTGTTTAAGACAACCATCTCAAGGGTCTACATTTGGCATTAAAGGTGAGTTTGATTGGTTGCCTAACTCATTAAATTGCAGAGAAATAATTAAATTTGAATACAAATCAATTTTTTAGGTGGTGCTGCTGGTGGTGGTTATTCTCAAGTAATCCCAATGGAAGATTTCAATCTTCATCTAACAGGAGATATTCACGCCGTTGCAGCAGCTCATAATTTATTAGCTGCCCAAATGGATGCAAGAATCTTCCATGAAGCGACACAAAAAGATCAAGATTTATATAATAGGCTTGTTCCGACAATAAAAGGGGTTCGCAAATTTAGTAATATTCAATTGAGAAGACTTGAAAGGTTGGGTATTAAAAAAACCGATCCAAATGATTTAACAGATGAAGAAAAAGTGAAATTCGCCCGTTTAAACATCGATACAAATAACATCGTTTGGAATCGCGTAGTTGACATAAACGATCGTTATTTAAGAAAAATTACAATCGGACAATCGCCAACTGAAAAAAATCTTACTCGGGAATCTAGTTTTATGATTACAGTAGCTAGTGAAATAATGGCCATTTTAGCGATATCAAAAGATTTAACTGATTTTAAAACACGTCTTAGCAAAATGGTTGTTGCTTTTGATAAAAATAATAAGCCGGTTACTGCTGATGACTTAGCAATGACCGGAGCTTTAAGTGTTTTAATGAAAGATGCTATTGATCCAACATTAATGCAAACTTTAGAAGGAACGCCAGTTTTAGTTCATGCCGGACCGTTTGCGAATATAGCCCATGGTTGTTCTTCAATAATCGCTGATCAAGTCGCTTTAAAATTAGTTGGTGAAAAAGGTTACGTTGTCACAGAAGCTGGATTTGGTTCCGATATCGGAATGGAAAAGTTCTTTAACATCAAATGCAGAGCTTCTGGTTTAATCCCAAACGCAGTTGTTTTAGTCGCAACTATTCGTGCTTTAAAAATGCACGGAGGTGGACCTGCAGTGACTCCAGGAGCTCCATTAAAACCGGAGTATACTCAAGAAAACATTCCTCTCTTAAAGAATGGATTACAAAATTTAATTAAACATATTAATAATGGAAATAAACATGGTGTTCCTGTAATTGTAGCGATAAATAAACATGCTACTGATACCGATGGCGAACTTGAATTAGTTAAAGAGGCTGCTGTTAAAAATGGAGCTTTTGATGCTGTTGTTTGTAATCATTGGGCTGAAGGAGGAGCTGGAGCTGTTGGTTTAGCCGATGCGGTTATAAAAGCTTGTGAAACTCAAAATTCATTTAAATTTTTGTATGATGTTAATATGGGAATTGAAGAAAAAATTTTCGCTATAGCTAAAGAAATGTATGGAGCTGGAAATGTCGAGTATTCTGAAAAAGTTATGGAATCTATTAAGAAATACACTGAACAAGTAAAAATTGATTTATAAAGTAAATACATTAAGACATCTTTTTATGTTTATTTTTTTATAGGGTTTTGATAAACTTCCAATTTGTATGGCAAAAACGCCTCTATCATTAACTGGTGATCCAACAATTAAAGGCGCACCAACTGATTTTACTTTAAAAATTAATGATATTTCAATTTCTGTTGGTGCTGGATTTATTATTCCAATTTGCGGAGAGGTTTTTTTTTAATTTAATTTAATTTTTTAAATAAATTATTACTTTTCTTTTAGATTACAAGAATGCCAGGACTACCAACCAGACCTTCAATTTTCGACATTGATTTAAATACAGAAACTGGAGAAATTGAAGGACTTTTTTAAAAATTATATAATAATGTTGACATAATTTTATAAGAAATAAAAACATAAAACTTGATTCTTATTGTGTATTCACTACACATGGTATCTCAATGAGACTGTCCATTAGACGTCTATGGGGTTCTGGCCAAAAAAAAATTTGAGAATTCAGATTTAAGTATAATCAATAGCGTTCTCTTTGACTAAAATATTTTCAGATTTCTAGCACTTCCGGTTATACCGGAAGTCGCCACCTACTTATTTTTTTTAATGAAACATCTGTATATTTTTATATATTTGGATTTCTCTATTTTCATGGTTTATGAATAATTTTACTTTTTGCAATTTGATTCCAACTTTCTTGAGTTATTCGATTTTTTCTAAACAAATCTACTATATAGCAGACATTTACTCAAAAAATCTCGATTTTTGGGATATCAATTTAGGATTCAGAATATCTTTAACCAACATGATGGAGTATGTTTTGGTGCCGAGAACGGCTGTGTAGATCGTTTGGTAATCCCCATATTTTATTACTTAGTCGTTTCATTTTACATCTTTATATGTCCCCCATATGTCCTATAGCTAACATTACTAATTTGGGAGATAATAAGGGTTTTTTGAAAAATGCATACATATGTTATCAATATTAACCTAGTGTGCCATGGAAAATAAGCGTGGTCAATGAGTTCTTGTCAAAATCTCACTTGTTTACGTCACCTGATGCATGTGAGCTAGTAATTATCTATTAGGTGCCTTAATATTAGTACTAAAAAGAGTTAAAATCAATAACGAAAAAAATATTTACACGAATCAAGAAATTCTTAATTTATTTTTTATATGTGGAAAGCGCGACAAAGTTCGTAGTGGAACTTGCGGAATATCAACATTTTAATAACAAGTTACAATAAATGTTCGAATTTTGGCCGTTCGCATTCAGGCAGTGCGTTATACGTGAAAAAACACCCTCAAGTATTGCTCTTCGTACTTCTTGAGGAAGGAGACTGTTCGCACGCGTGCTTCTAATTCCTCCGTCGCGTCGTGTTTACCGGTGTCTGGTAGACCTGATGTTTTATACGTCCCCAAAGGTAGAAGTCCACAGTCGTCAAATATGGAGATCTTGCCCGCCAGTTCCACGGTACCCGCCTTATCCACCTGTCTTCGAAGATTGAGGAGAGTTCCTGGGTGCAATGGGCTGGAGCTCCATCCAGTATATTAGCTTCTTCTCAAGTTCAAAGACAGGTTGTCAAGAAAATCCTCTACCACAGTACGTAATAAATTCAGGTACCGCTTTGTCGTTACAATACCGTCATAAATGACCTAAGCGAACCTGCCATCCATCATAAGACAAAAAAACGTTGAAACTAAACCTAACCTAATAGTTTTTTTCTCGTATTGCATGTGGGTTGATGGAAGCCCAGATATGATTGTTAAAGATACCTTCGCGCGAAAACTTAGATTCGTTCGTCGATATAATTTTTTCAAAAAGTTTTCATCCTTTTGACAGCGAAGGTATAGCATCTCACATAAGTTGACTCGGTCGTCGGGATCTTGAGGATGAATCTCTTGAACTAACGATAACTTGTAGTTGTGGAACTGATGTTTTTTCAAGATTCCCTGCACTGAACACCTAATAATTCCCAGATCTTCTTTGGCAGCTCGAATTGAGGCGTTGGGATTGACCTCGAAATATGCCAAGGTATTCACCTCTTTTGCTTCATTACATTTTTTGGTAGGTTTAACACGTGATTAATTCGTCCAAAATGCAAAAAAAATTTATTTCTATTCTTCTAACTTTACCTTTTGTCATGGGCGGTAAATGTGGATAGCTTTCATTAAACATTCTGCAAGTTCTTAGTAGAACTGTATTATGTCCGTGCATAAAAAATAAATTAAGTATTTCTTCTGCCTAAGGCTGACGTCACAGAGGTGGGCGGAGCTTACACCGACTCCAAACAATTTCGTTGCTAAAATAAATATTAATTGCCATTAATATGTCATTTAAAATGTTACTTAGTTTATCTCTGTGACGTCAAGGCTTAGGTTGTCTATTAACATAATTGGATACGCAACTCATGGATAAACTTACCCAACAGATAACCTCAGTGAAGCGTTTATCCAGCAACTTTCTATCCCAAGGTCCGTTGAGTAAACATACTGTATAAGGTTATCCAACTTCCTATGAACGCTGTTGTTATGAACGTATCCCCTCCGCAAAGGCCCATAAACAAAGGCCTTGTTGTAACGTCATTGGAAGAATTGTCATTTCTGTTTTCATTTATATACGTAAACCAACAGAAACTCTTTATTTCTTGAGTTTAATAACACTTGTTTAATTTTTAAATAATTATTAACATAAATATTATTATTATATTATATTAAATTTATATTATATCATATTATGTTATATTTTTCCTCCAATGACGTCACGTTTCCCACCTCACCCCGCCAACGTCAAGTTGTTCGAGTTGGATAACCTTATAACCAATACTCAACGGACCTTG